CGATCGAAGGGAGAGAAAGGACGAGGAGCAAGACGCACTTCCGATATGGAATTCGTATAGTCAAGCGGATTCCGTTGCACGCCATAATAATACCGTCGTCGCGATCTTACTGACCGTCAATTCGAATTTAAGACGTATGCAAACGATAGAGAACTTCGCAGAGTCACATCGAGAGACGAGATCGCGAGAAGACGTAATAAAAATTATAAATATAAGAAAAAGAATAAGATTCTTCGCGTGAATTTTTGTTACGAATAATCGACGTATTTCGACGAGATTTTCCGCGCCGACTTTTTTTCAGAGGATAACGAAGCCCCATCAAGAATCCCCTGGCCAAGTTCTCGTCTTGGTTAGCATAGTGATTTCATGATCGCCGATTAATCGTTCGGAAAGGAAGGCGACGCGAGAGTCTTCTAGCTTCATAGTCGTAGCGACATTAATCTATTCATTATTTCGTTCTACGTGTATTTATGAGAACACTGACGCGAATCCGTCTGTGTTCGAAATGATGATCTGCTCGATCATCGCGTCGGGATATCGAAGAGTAGAAGAGATATGAATGGGAGAGAAGGGAAAAAAAGAAATGCGCAACCAACAGCGAGCTTGATGGAAAGAAATCAAATCGCCTTACTGTAATAAAATCGTTGATACGGACACGTCGATTAGGATAATGAATAAGCCTAAGTGCTTCGCGTGCTCTCGTGATGTTACTAATATTAATAACGTTTTTTTTTTGCTTTGTACAATGGTAGAGAGATAAGCGCCCGTGTGCGCACAAAGAGAGTCCTACGTATTATATATTCTTATGAAAAACTAAAATTTGATATATACGTATAACGATGTTATTTCTATTCGACTCGTACTCACGCGAAAAACACGACGGTCTAACACGTACACAATCTATATCACACACCGACACTAATCTACTCGATTGACACATCATAACTTTTTTTCTCTTGCCTTCTTTGCATCTACGATGTTGTTCATCTAATTTCCGAATAAATAATACTATTTATTAATTTGTAGAAACTTTACGAAAATTTTGTACGTGAAAAATACAAAAAATCTGTTACCGATTTTCCATATACTAAATAACTATTTTCCAAAACTTAATATGTATATATATATATATATAATATATATATATTCAGATTTGAGAGAAAATTATTTTAATGTTCCAGAAATCGGTAGGATGAAAATTTTTGTATGAACAAATTTATTGATTTCTACATGCGTTACACACAGGATATGATAAACAATATGTATGTGCTTTGATTCACGATATCCCGACTCTCTTCTCGGTCTTTCTCTCCCCTTCTCTCGTTCGTCGAGAAAAATAGGCGCGCAACGTAGGGATCCATTATCATCCCGTGTGAATCGCATGCGCGCGCACACACACACAGCACATACATACATATAACACAACAAATATGTACACATACACGATACACATACACGATACACATACACACATACACATATACACATGCTGCAAACATTTTTTGCAATAGATATTAAGAGTTTTGATCAAAGAAAAAGATACAGCAAAAAAGGGACAAAACTCGCATCCATACACATGCACGCATACACACAAGCGTAAACAAATATACACCCACATATAAATACACATACGAACGAATGTGCAATGGACGCACACGTGGAAATACTAATTGTGGCCTTATTCGCACCGAATACCATAGGAGTAAAAAAAAAGGGAACTAACTTACACAATAATTTACTTCATTATGAGACATTTAATATCAAATTTATTGTTATACGCGAACAAAGGTAAGTGTAATGCCGCGCGAACCGAGTCCACGAACACGGAAACTACGAGACCAATTCGAATCACGAATTGTTAATCGCAACCAATATAAGTCACACACGTGCTATAATATAATATTGTATGTTATCCGACGGAGTCACTTACACACACTAATCGCCTTAATTAGTAAATGATAAAAAAGAGATTATTCTATATTCAGCGTATCCTATACACTGTTACACTGTAAAATTGATAAATAAATAAATGTAATTATTTACATGGGAGTCCTGTATCCCATCTCCTAAAAGTTATCAACAATTCTTTGAAAATTGAGAATACTTACAGAGAAACGCAATGATAATGCGTTCCTCTATAAGCATTTCTCTATAAACAGGTATAATCAATTCATTAATTATCAATTCATTTATCTTGTAATTAATAAAATTTATGATTTTCTTATAATATATTTTTAACATTAACAGAAATATAATATTTCATATAAATAAGTAGTTATTTAATATATTAATTAATAATAAACATCATTTAATACATTAATAGATACATTAGAATCCAAAGATAAATTTAAAGAAAATTGCGAGTTTTATTTACTTTATATAAAATTATATTTTTTAATATAACTAGAATTATATTATTTTCTGACACTGCTTATTTTCTGAAGTCGAAGATTTTTCAATAGATTATAGATCATGATAAGAAGCAATATACATAATATGCATCGAGATGTTAAACAGATATATTATAAAAAAAAGAAATACAATTAGATAATCAAATCCGATTTCATGTGCTTTTTTGAAAAGTAGGTAATGTGATTTACACGTACAGAATTAATTCTTTAATTTAATTATGTTATGCAAAATCTAAAATAATATTAATAAAATATAATGATTTGCAAGTTTTATTCATTTAAAAATTAGAATTACAATTTTAGCACATTTTTAATTTATGATTATTGAATTATGATACGATCAAATTGATTTAATTAATGATTCATCAGTACAAATTTATCGTACCGTATGATATTGATTAAATAGATTAATGCAAACAGAAATATATAATTAAATATCTGATGACGTATTCTGCTGCCATCTAACAGATTAGGTAAAATCATTTTCTGCTGATGATCTACAGATATAAAATTTAGTTTCCTCTTTCTTCTGTAGATGTCTATACTATTTCCTTAAGCGTTATAAAACAAGAATAAAAATTATAATTAAAAAATTATTATAATTTTGTAATTAACATATATGTTCTTAATTAATTTATATTATATTAATTTTCAACTTTTTAAATATTTTGTTATAATAAAAACGTTAATAATACTTTTCAATTTAAATCAATGTTAACAAAGTTTTAATGAAATTAATTCAATTTCCATTAAATTGAATTAAGTTTTTAAACTGCGTAAAAAAATGAATAGGAATACCATGAATAATATATATTGGACGATTATACACTCGTTCAATGTAATAGATCTGTAATTTTTTATTCTACTAATTATTTCATGTTTTCTTCTTCAAACTCAATTTCAACAATTTGTACAAGATTGAAGACTAATTTCCATACATACAGATATAAATCTCAAAAGTAAGAACTCATTTTGGAAAATTGGATATGTACAGAGTCACTATAAATAAATCCCTGTCGAAATTCATCATCGACATTAAGGTCATGTTGTCGGAGGTCACACGATAGGTCAATGCACGCTCGATTCTCCTGCGTGACAGTGTGCCACCCATTGGATGACGACCTCCAAATTACAATTTTACTTCATTAGCTCCGACATCAATTTATCCAAGTCCGCTTACAATGGCTCTTTTACACTACGGGGCTCCTAGGCATTGTGGAATTTCAAGGACTCCGCAAAAAAATGGGAGATACCTTCCAAGAAAATATTCGTGAGTTTATATGTGAAGTTTTATGAATTTTTCACAAAAAGCTTTAATTAAAAAATCATATTACAGCTTCTAATAATTATTTTTTGTTTTGTTGATATATCTTAAAATCATGTACTGCCTAAATCTGCTTGTAATATTACAATTTTGTAATCTTTTGTCATATCTTCACAAATAGAGTGTATTAAATTGAAAAGTTCAATGTCATTTAATAAATTTTCTATATTTTTCTATATTTTTCTCGTACAAAACTATTTTCAAAACAATTAAATAAAAACGTAATGTTTCAAGTTTCTAAGATTTTTTTTCTTTAAGCTAATGTAAGTCAAAATGTAGAAAAATAAGTACTTCTCATATCTACGTTTCTAAGTCAGATTATTTCTAAAAAAGAGATTTATTTTGAGCGTTTCTTTTTTCCATTTTAATACAGAATGAATGAACTCAAACTTGGTCTCAAAATCTCTCTCTTTCTCTCTCTCTCTCTCTCTCTCTCTCTTCATATAAAAGCATTGACGATAGTTTTAGAGTGATGATTCTCTATGTATGCATAAGCTACCGTTTCTGTTAAATTAATCCTTTTCGAAGTTATGCTTCCCATCGTGTTTAAATCAACCGACTGCGCGTTCCCGATACAGAGTTGTTCTATTGATGTAGCGAACGCCTGTTCTAAACGCTGTAAGCCAAATCCCGCGAACAGTTCCGAACAGAACTGTTAATTACACGCGGATACCCATACACACAGACTCATGTGCACGTAGACGAGCGAACGAGCACCGCACTCGGGGTAAAGTGAGGTCGATGGAAAGTGGTATAATCGCGAATGTGGATCGACTCAAGGAGAGCAGAGAAGAGGAGATCCTTTACCTTACTTATGTAACGAGCGACCATGGTGGTGTCTCGTGTCTTCGACCGCGTCCGAAGAGGGAGAGCGAGAGCTCTGCCTCTCTCCTCGGAGAGGCTCTGCCGACTCCCTCGTTCTCTCTCCTCCGTTCTCCTCGTCTCCCACGAACGTCACTGTTCGCCTTGACTCTGTCCCGCTCGTGCTGCGCTCGACACTGTCCCTGAAAATCCCTCCACGGAACTCATCCACGCAAGCGCGAACTTAATAGGCATTCGCTTGTAATTGTAATTATTATCGAGCCAACGAACAAAGGGATATTCATCACAAGCTGAATACTATCTACTACATAAATAATTAAAAATATTTAAGAAACATGTGAGAGAGAACGTTCGTGAGAATTGTAATTAATTTGTTTCGCTTAATAGCTCAAATTAAAAAAAATGTTATTATCTAAATATTATTTGAACAATATTTAAATACATATTTCGTCTTATTTACTATTTTTATTACATTTAAGTATGTGGACCGTGAACCTCTTTTGATATGCTTAAACATTATTTGATATGTTTAAGCTTTCTAAATATTAAATACAAAATAATGTAATTCCGGACAGGACGGAACATTGCAGCAGAATATATGTATAATAACACGATAAATCGCCTCTGCATCTTCATATACATATGTCAGCTTGTATGAAAACTCTCGTAAACCGTCTTTATCCCAAAGGAGACGGTAAAGCTCGGATGCTCCACTCGAATCCTAATCTTGCTCTTTGTGTCTTTGTGGACTTTGGTCATGACGTTCCTCTTGACCCTCTCCGGAATCTAATAGACATAACGTTACATTCTCAACGGACAGATTTGTACTACAGCAACTTCGTCCGTTTCTCTTCTGTCATCTCTCTTTTTTGATACATTTCTCATGTCCCTCCCGCGCCTGTCTCTCTTAGATATACGTTTGACATCGGAATCTCGAAGAACGATTGTTAAATCTTCAATCTCGGGGTCAGTGGCATTTGCCGTGTAGTCTATATAAAGCCTCTTTCTTGATGTAAATAAAAATCATTATTTTTTCTTTCTTTCGCACATCGAAAAGGCCAAGAGAAATATTTTCAAACCATAACCACTCAATTTCCCCCAAATCTGATAAATTTGTGAAGCAAACAAAATTATTTTCAAAGTATTTTTTTCAACCCGTGGCTAATGAAATTTAAGGATCGATGCTACTTAAACTAATCGGTTTAAATGCGTTCATTATGACAAAAATAGAGAAATTCCTGCTCTCACATAATCTCTTGTGTAAAAACAGATTTAAATTAACGTCAGAAATCTCAAAAATATCTCTCATGTTTACAACTTCTTATCGTTATAAATTAAAGATAAAATAATCCGGGAAAAAAAGCATCTATCCTGAGACGTCAATGTAACGAACTACAAAATGTTATTTCCGCTTTTTCTACAAAAATCCAAAGCCTTGACAAAGCCATGACGCACAAGCAATCTATTTTCAAGGAATTATTTTTATTTTTAATCACTTTCCATGGTTGCACGTGATTTTATAAGAGTTATAGCTCGCCATGAAAATTTCCATGCCTCCAACATCAATATGTAACTGAATCGGCAGTCGCATTGTTTGAAATTTTTACAAATCGATTCGAAAGGCATTTGGAGAGGCAAATCGGCTCAACGGGAGGCGAGGCGAATAAAAAGCCACCATACTGTTGTAGCGGTGTTATTCCGACGCAAGATGATTTCGACACCGAAAACGAGGGCCGTTGTTGTCGGAGGTCATTCGTCGGTTCAACGTTCGGGCCATTTACCTGTCCGCCAACTCGAATCTTTGGTCGCTGACATTGCGATATTAGCATCCCGCTTGCGGGCGACTATTGTAACACCTCGGAGACAGAGAGACCGACGTAGAAAGGTATACCATAAGCAAATCATGAGAGAGACTAGGTATCAAAGATGAATATTAGACGCAATAACGAAAAAACATTTGTCCCAACAAAACTTACGTATTAATGTCTGCAGAAAGTAAAAATATACCGGAGTAGCCATAATTATTAGAGACGTAACAGTAAAATAGTGAAAGTAATCATAAATTTAGTAAAAAAAAATACCATCCAAGATACACTTAATAAATAACGTTTAATTTATTTTATTGTATTTAATATCTTTTATTGTATTTAACTTCGTAATTCCTTTAAAATAATATTTGTATCGACTTCGTTACAGAGTATTCTTATTGAATCTTTTTAATTGAAAAATAAATTGTAACCGTATCAGAAAAATATTTACACACATCTGAAAAGCGAGCAGAAGCGAGTAAGCAAGAGCGAAACGCGTTACTCGGAGTGAAGATAATTCAATGAGTTGAATGACCAGTGCGACGAAGCCGCCCTACGCGTTCGCCGTTTTTCGTGCGCGTCCTCGAGTTAAACAATCTTCATGAAATTGAAAGAGATGACCTCGCCGGCATCCCATCTATTGGCGCCTCGATCGGCGCTGGAATGACGGAAGAGTGCGAGAGAAGGATTAAGGCAGGAACTCGACTTCTCTTTTCGGCTTCGTGGAAGGACGCAAAAGAATGGAGAGGAGGAGGAGGCATCCTCCGCTGGTTGCTTCCTCCAAGAGTGCCTTGACCCTGAGCCGAGCGCAGAGAAGTCTCTTCGAGACGAAGAAGAGAAGAAAAGTGCGAAGGAACCGATGCCTTGGAGTGTAATCCGGGTCGCTACCTTGTTGTTCGTTGACTTTCCGTGGCGTTCACAGAAGTCGAGAGGGAGTTCGTCGCTACCGGAGGAAGGCAGAGGGAGATTCAATGATGTAATTCTTTGGCCATGGACCCCTAATAAAGATGGCATAAATCAAAAGTCGATAGCCATTCAAGGACACTGAAAGATACTTCTGGCGGACCTAGGCAACGATCACTTGCGTTATAATGTAATATAAGAAATATTCTTCAGCAAGCAATTACGGTAGATAGAAATTATTGAGAAAACAAGTAAAATTGACATCTTGATTAAAAAATGATTTACTTATTCTATGAAATCCATTATTGTAAATGAAAGAAAGACTTTGAAAAAAGAGAAGACTAAAGAGAGGCGGGAAATGGCGGAAAAGCAAAAGAGAGAGTGAGAGAAAAACAGAGATTTATTAACCGTGAGAAGAGACTGCGTCTTATCGAAAATTCCGTCAATAAAACGGTAAATAATGACAAAGAACGGAGAGTAAAGACACGAAAATCTGAAGAATGCGCGTTGCATGTAGTGCAGTTTTCTATGCAAAATGAAGGAGAGTGGGAGAAACGTGAGGGAGGGAGAGAAGCAAGACGAAATAAGAGGAGTCTGGAGACGTCGGACGAGGGGGACAAGTCCGGGTTAGGATGGAGGGAGACAGGAAGGTATTGCCGACGGACACGGTGGAGGTGGCAGGAAGAAGGACGAAGGAGACGAGGAAGGAGAAGCCGAAGGGAGATGACCGGCAAGTCGAACGAAGACGCAAGTTCATATCCAAGGAGATGTGGGACGATGCCCCGGAGTAACCTCCATCAAGGATGGACTTCCACCATCCACTGACGGCGGCGACGGCGGCCCCAAGATGCATTATACATCCTTGTTACACACGTCTGGACGATTATCTTGTAACAGTAGATTCGATGAATTTCTCGACTAAACTGCGTGAAGAAAGATCCAATGAATTATTTAAAAGGTGTATTAATCAAAATATAAATGATTAAAATTATATAGCGATGCACATAAATATTTTCCCGATTAAGTTTCTTGCGCGAAATGTTCGTGATATAAATAAATATTAAACAATTTTTTATGCAGCAATTAAAATTATTGGCCGTTTTCTTACTTGGCAATTTCTCACACTTAAGGCTCGACGTTTGCTAAATGCGGCACTGTATAGCGGCAAACGGCCTCGATCCGCGAGAAGACGAAACCACGCGTGGCGCGCGGAAAAGCGAGTTCTCCTCGCGGAGAAAAGTGCTTTGCCCGCGGTGCTCGGTCACCTCGACGAATGCCAGAGAACGGATCGAAATCGCGATTTGGCAGAGTTTTTATACGCGCCGTCCTAGAATTCGCGTACCTTCTTCAGCTAGAAGATTCTTTGAACAATTTTGACATCATCTTTTTGCCCAAGCTTCACGGTTAACGGTACTTATAAATATATGTACATAATGTATAATATATTATATTTCATATTTGTATAGATGTAATATTGTATTACCTCTTTTCAATTTATTATAAATATTTATTTAATAATAATGTAAAATAATTTAAATACAGATATCGTAACATGCATTTATATGTGTGTCTGTGTGTGTGTGTGTGTAAATACATATACAAAGAAAAAATTAAACATAAAAAACTTTATAAAATTAATAAAAGTTAATGGAATTTGTTAAATGATTTTTTTGTCTTGAATATAGTGAATTATACTAAATGCCTAAATATTTCTTCTACTCTATTTCTCCTATTCAATTTTATGAATAGCGTTCCCTCACCCAATTATGCGAATGAGGTAAAACAATTACGCATTCGCATATTTTATAACTGAGCGAGTACATGCGCGCGATATAAATCGGAATTTCCGGTGTTTTCCTTCGGCGAACGCGCGAAACGAGAAGTGAGGTCAACGCTTGCTGAAAGAGACGATCGGCATTCGAGTAAACAGAAGTACAGGAATGTGGAACGTGCTCATTATGCGGTTGTCTCTTAATCTCAGTAATCGACAGATACATTCGAATTTTTATATGCTTCGGAAATGCAGTTCGTTGATATTCTAATTATACGAAAACCCGTTATGCTTGTAAAATCTCGTAATCGAACGTTTTCCCAAATCATTACGAAATCATTGAAATTCTTTTCGGTTTTCATATAGAAAGTTTATCATATATCTTAACAACGAAATCGGTTCTTTAGCAAAAAATATCACACTTGTGAAAAACAAATTTAAAAAATTAAGCAACAGGTATATACATAGCATATTCTAAGTATATTCTACAATATTTCCAGAAATAAATAAGAAAATCTCATATAAGGATTATTTAAATAGAAGCATTAATAATTAATGAAGAATTAAAAATTAAAGAACCTTGCAAAATCTAATAATTGATAAATTTGTAAGATTTAAAGACTGAGAAATTTAGGCTAAAAGATATAATAAACTAGAAAAAATCAATATAATTATGTTCATATTTTTATATAATTTTTATAATTATTTTTATATAATTATGTTAATATTTTTATTAAAGAATTTTCCTATAAAAATAGTTCAGTGTCGAATTAAAAAAAAATTAAAATTAAAAAGACTGTGCACAAATATACAGAATTGAAAAAAAGACTCAGAATTACTTGTATATATTTATTTAGATTAATATTAATTAATTTTTTTCAGAATTTATCGAATATACCTCTTTTTGCAACTATGTTATTTAATTTATAAATGTGTTTTCATAAATTAAAAATATAAAAACTGTATAATTCTTCTCTCAATATCCGATATTCGATAATTTTAACTTTAAGGTCAATGACTAAGATCATTGATTTTATTTATTTCGAAAATGAATCAACTTCCTCGAAACGTATTTCAACGCGAATGTCATCGTCGTTAAGACCTACCTGTGATGTTCGTGACTCACTATACGCCACGAAATTCTCGAAACGATAACCAGAACTTGACCATCTAAAAAGAAAGTGTTTTGCAGTAATAATCGGAGTACTAACGATTCACGCACGTCGTAACGACCACGTTGTATGCGTGCCTCTCCAAAATCTGTTTTAGTCACACTATACTTTCGCTAATTAACGGTAATCAAGATTGAGAATTTGATTTGATCATAACGAGTTAAAAATTACCCCTTAAGGAACGAATCGCAAAATTACATGCGCATTAAGGGACGAATGCTAAATTGCAAACGAGTTTTCTTCTTTAAATTTTTAATGAGCTTTGCGTTGATATAAAAAAATTATAATTATATCTCATTATAGTATAATAACATTTTCTTATTATTTCATATATAATGATATCTTATTATTATTCATTTTTATTTTGATAATTGTATTGTTGATAAAGTAAAGCTTTTTAAATTTAATTTTAACTTACATTTTCGTTAATAGCAATTTTTATTTAATTGAACAAATAAGTAAATATATATTCAACTTCTTGATCGAAAGAAGTATGGAAAATTATGTCATTGTGTTCAAAAATTGTCAAGATAATTAAGATATCACTTCTTAAGAGGAAATACATATATATGCAGCTCCTGAACAGTATCCTGAGCTCATTTTCAATGTAATGAGACTAGAATAAAGTTACAACGCAAATCAACATTGGACTTATCGAGCTTATAACGCTATTACAATTAACAAAATTATCGCCAAAAGTCTTGTTCTCACGAACCTTGATTTGGAAAATGGCACTGTTACGAACGGTATCGCTCACGCACGGGTGCGTGAAAGTAAATGCATGTGCACGCGGATACGCGTGTACGCGTTGCGTGCACGACTTATGTGCATTCACGTCACGTGACTTCGCCTTAACCTAGTGTCAGTGGCCAGTTGTTCGTGGCTTACAACGAGAGCGCTTTTTGGGTCTAGGTCTGCTGAGGGCGTTCACCCCGCTTACGTTGTTAACACACTTACCATACTGTACGAGGCCAATGGCAGCGTTAGTGTGCGTCCCGCTTCCTACCACCTTCCGTGGATCGGACGAGGAGAGACGAAGCGTCTGCCTATGCCAACTACGACCCGCGGGCACTTGGTCAAGAAGCTTCACTTTTAATCGTCTCGCGATGCAACCGCCTCAGGTTCTCAGATACAGTGACTTTGAAACATAAAAGAACGTAAATTTGTCAAAAATAACACACACACACACACACACACACACACACACACAGTGCAAGATATTATTGAATTATACATAAGAGAATTATACATACGGTTAAGAAATTTTATTTCCATTGTCTTACATGATTTTAGAATCCTTTAATATAATTCTACGTTTTCGGAATTGTCAACTTTCATGACGATATTATTTCACAGCGTTTCGGAAAATTTTTTTTAATTTGTTGAATTTTACCAATTATTATTATAAATTATTAAATTATTAAAGTATAAATTAATTTTAATATTGCGTTGTACATATAACAACATATAAAATTATAAAATTAATGCAAAAAACGCAATAAACTACAATATAAAACAGATTTAAATAATAAATTTTATCTTTTAAAAAAATATGTCAACGTGCAAAATTAAAGAGCCTATTCTGTAACTCTTAACTGTAGAAAGAACTTAACTGAGAAAATTTTAAAAATGTATTTGAAAATATACTTAAAAATGTTGTTATCAGAATTATGTAAATACGTAGACTTTAAAAATATTATAGACTCTATACACAATATAACTCTGACAATGAAATTTTTAAGTATATACTTGCAAATATATTTTCTTAATTTTCTTAATTTTGCGATGATATATAATATTTTTTAATAGATAAAGTTTATTTGAATTTCCAATAATCAATTTTACATACTTTATCTGTTTCTGTATTAATTATATAATATAGAAAAAAGTTTTAATTGACTTCATGCAATACATAGTACATTGAAAAAAAATTATTAAATCTTAATACATATTTCTTTGAATAATATTTAAATAAACATAAAGTTACACTAAATAAATATTTACTGAATAAAAAAATAATAGTTAAGTCAAATTAATGATTTTTGTATGCAATAAATATATATATATGTTTATATTTAATAAATATTTACTTAGAAGTATATAAACAAATATTCATTAAAATTTATTATTTTTTTCAGTGTATACAATTTTATGCTCGCAGAATATCGATAAGATATTCAATGATAGCAAACTGAGATTACTAGCTTCCGGGTCCCGTTACTCAGGCAACAAATGTAAAGTAAATCGGCCATTTATACCCGTTAAAACCGATTATACTCCCACGTTGGCGATAAGTTTCTGGCACGAAAGGTCAACACGATAAGAAACAAGTCGAGAATGAAGAACGTCGTTGTCACTGTTGCTATTGTCATCGCGAATTCAGAAGACTTCCGTTTCGTTGACGTCGCCGCATCATGACGAAATTCACTCTCATCCCTATACAGTTACGCCAATCCGTGTACTTTCGTTGACGCCGAGTGAAAAAGTACCCTAAACGCGATCGGGATGAAACGAATGTGGCGCGTATTTTATACCGTTACCCTCAAGGTAATCGCTTGACTCAGCTTCGGTTCGTTCCTCGTCGAGCATCGAAGAATCGCTCGCACAGCAGAAGATGTACGAGAAGGGAGAGCGGAAGGTGAAGTAGGAAACGCCATGAGAACGTTCGACATGAATGGACCAACAAACTCTCGACACCGTTATCGTTATCGTAGCTCTGACGTGGGTAGAAATCGCTCTGTGCGAGAGCGGGCGTGCGAGAAACATGCGTCGTGATCGCGAGAAGCTGTCCTGTCAACGTCCATCGGGATATCTTAATCCTGTAACTGTAGAGAAACTCTTGCAGCACCTTCGCACGAGACTGCAATGATCATTTCGATACCGTTGAAACACGTATGTTCTGAGGAATTTTTTAAAAGTTCCGCTATACAAATTCTAAAGAAAGCGAAACAGAATACGGACAATAAGGTGTCCAATGTTAAAATATAAAATAGAGAAAATTAATTATTAGGTAATTGTGATGTATTGAGATCATTGAATTAGATAATTGTAAAGAAAACTAACAATAAAATATAATATAATATGATATACCTACATATATAATATTTTGTATTTTTTAATTTAATTTTAGATGAATTTTAGATATTAAATATTGCAAATTGAAAAGTGACAACCAACGACTTTCTAATAGATAATTTCTATCTATCATTGCTTTTGAATAAATTAAATCCAATTATATCGGTTAAAGAAGGAAAGAAATAAGAATGACAAAATGCACGGATTATTATCTATTTTGTATATTAATTCGTATTCGGGTATACTAATAGAAATTCTTAAAGATACCATAGTTCTGCAAAAGTAAATATCAGAAAAAGAAAAATATATTTGATGCTACACCAGAGGAAATTTAATATAACAACTGAGACTGAGCAGAATCGTGGCGTAAACAGTTCGAATGTAGAACTACTTTTCGTTCTATCATGCAAGATATCGAATTGATATTTCCTGCACAGAATACATTGCAGATACGCATGTGACGATCGTCTCGGCCAGAAGACACACTTCCCGTCAAGCCATCGACGTTCTTTTGTTCATATGTGTCCATTAGTAATCTTAAAACAGGATCATTGATACTACCGCATCTTAATTAATTCTGTATGTATATCTTTTATTAATTTTACAAATGCAATGAATTTTTCTTTTATCTACGTAGCACACATTTTATTTCATTGCCGTAACATTTTTAACTAATTATCATTTTACATTTTTTTTTCTGTATAAAATCGTGCAATTTAAATGTTTCGTAAAAATGTCTTGTAAAATGTATAAATCGATAAAAACTAGACACACAAGATATGTATATAACAAAACGGCCAAGTTTAGTTAGATTATATTATATTTAAACTGAATACTTTTAATTCACAATTTTTTATTACTGCAAATAATAACATAAATTATAACGTAAATTATGTACCAACAAAAAGAACCATATCACTCACAGAGTGCGCACAAAGAGTGTATGTACTAACAAAAAAAGACCTAATGTACCCAATAAAATCTTATAATACAGAAAAGAGTTAGAGAAGAAAAAGAATAGAGAAAGTACTTTTCCGAAAGTACATTCGAACATTATCTTCGCTCTTCACTCAAAGCTAACAATAAGAGTATCAAGCCACTTCTCTCGAAAGATCCTATAACGCAATAGTGCACGAAAATTCGAACAAATCAAAGTACGTGCATCGATGCTATATACGAATACGAGACACGCCTGCCGCGATTTATCGAAGGCGACGTAAAGACTCCGATAGACAAAGCCGCCGATGAGAAGAATCATTCGCTCGTCGCGTCGGTCGGAGCTCTCACGTCTCGTAACGTCTTGTATGCGTGCAGCGCGCTGCACGCCGCTGCACATGCACGTTTCGCGCACACACACACACAAGCGCGCGCGCACGCGCGCGCGACCAAGCCGTTCAGGAACTGCGATGCGTGACCTAGTGCCGTTGCGGCGGCGTTCTACCTTCGAACTAGGTCTTCCTCGTTCCCAACTAAGTCCGCTAAGGCGGCGAATGAGCGTAGAAGGCCAACGAGAATGCACCGACATCGCACACGACGGTGGCCGGGGGCCACCTCTCGCGCGGGTGCATCTACCGCGCGTGTCTAACGCGCGTTTATCCGCGCGCGAGCTCAGCGCAGGGACAATGCGGAGCGCGACGAGTGCTGAAGTTCTCTCGAATGTATACGACTCCGCCGTAAGTCTTAGAACTCCTGCAAAACATGTCGCACGCGCGATTCTAGGTCACGTTCATGTACAGACTGCGCTCACGTTTCTCGCGACGATGATGAATTATAGAACTTAATTACAATAATGTAGTAATGCGTGCGAAATCACGCGCACGAAAACCAGGCAATTTCTGCAAATATCGAATTAATAATAGATATCGTAATTCTTTGAATAATCGCCAGGGAAGTATTCATTGCGTTAAATTATCTGTGAGTTTTATTAGTCTAAGTAATGCTATTCAAACTTTAATAAACGTCGCGACTCCACGGATAATCACAAATGGAAAAGATTTATTAAATTATGCGTTTCATTAGGTTAAAATAAAAAAAAAAAGAAAAAAGAAAAATGTCCCGAATTCAAACGCGAATATTTGCATACAGCATTCAAATTCTTTGGCGTCATATTAGCGTTTCCTAATTGTCAACGTACTGGTAATTTTTAAACCTCATTTTCATTTATAGAATTGCAAATACTACGCAAATTTTACAGTACAAACAAAATTAATTTGATTGACAAAATGTTCATGTTCAGTCAGAATATATTCAATTAGAAGTTAAATTGATACTAATACGTATTTCGTTACAAATATGCATTAATATTCTTTTGTGGCGTTCTATTGGATAACGTAATATTAGATTACTCGGCGTACGTTGCAACATTTCTTTATGAGGAACGAAATTTGCACGGACCGCAGACGGAATACCGAAACGGGCGATTACGCAAGACGGGTCAAACCTATGTACGTCAGCCGCCATTAGGACGGCACCGTTAGAATTTGCTTGCGTTCGCCCGTATTCGTATTATGCTACATACGTGTTTGTGGCGGAATATGTATTAACTGCGGACGAAACACCAACGGGGTCAATGCCTCTTATACGGAGCAGTATACCTCGCCGACTTTCCGTAAAGGTATGCCCAGAAACCTTACCCGAGATTCATGCTCGAGTCCAGATAGCGATAAAAACGAATGTGTTACGGGAATTTCCTTTTCAAAGCGTAATCCGCAGTAATCCTGGTGTCGCCGATTCTCACATCGAGATCCACCGCTGTTATTTACGACGCGATAAACTGCATGAAATAATTACTAGTTCCATTATTTATTTTGACGTAAAAAGAGATGCTATGTAAATATCACTCATTTGTTTCAACATAACATAACATAACCCATGTAATACGTTGTATTGCATATAGAAAAAGAATAGGAAACATAAAGAAAAAATAGAAAGAATATACTTAAAAAAAAGAACATACCTCCATTTTTTTGCGATCAATTATTACAATCGAAATTGAATTTTAAAATTAATATTAAGAAATTTTAATGATCCAATATATTAAAATATATTTTCTAGAAAACTTTGATTTTGAGTTGTGTTGCTGTTTTGACAAATGAGCGATATAATACTTAACTAAATCCATAGTATTGA